ATACACACTTTTCTGTCTTGGCATAGAGTCTTGTATCTCTTAATTTTGTAACACATGACGAACATGAAGTTGATGTTCTTTTGGATTCTTAGAATAGATCAAGATGTCGTCTAGATAACATACCACAAAATCGTCCAAAAACTCTCGAAAAACATCATTCATTAGATGTTGAAAAGCTGCTGGTGTATTTGTAAGTCCAAAAGGGATGACATTGTATTCAAAATGTCCATACCTAGTTCAAAACGCAGTCTTCTATTCATCTCTTTCTTTGATGTGTACTAGATTGTATGCTCCATGGAGATCTATTTTTATATAGATCTTAGTTTGATTGAGCTGATCAAGAAGTCTAGATATTAAAGGTAGTGGATATCTGTTCTTGATGGTAATCTTGTTGAGTCCTCGATAATCAACATACATCCGCAATGATCCATCTTTTTTCTTCACAAATAAGATTGGAGCTCCTGCTCGGAATTTAGAATGGCGTATGAAATTATTGGCTAGATTTTCTTCAATATACTCCTTGAATTCAGTCAACTCATTTTGTGATAAACTATAGATTGGTTCGAATGGCGATTGTGCTCCTTCTTGAAGGTCAATTGAGCAATCATAGGGACGATGTTCTGGGAGTGTATCCGCATTCTTTTTTTCAAATACATCTTAAAATTCTTGATATTGGCTTGGAATGCCACTTGAAGTCTTTTCACCAGTAGAAACAGGTGTTGCATAAATAATATATGGTGATTCTTTCATAGCAGCATGCAAGAAAGCTTTTGCACCTATAAATACAGGTTTAATTGAACTGAACTTATGACTCTCTACTTGATTAACTACACTGTTAGTTATACTTTTAGAGAAAGTAAGAGTTCGAGAAATCCAATCTATTTGAGGGTTGTATTTTTCTAACCACGATAAACCTAAAATGACTAGATTAGAGGGAGATTTAATGATATTAAATACTACAAAACTATTATGACCATTGATTATTACTTCTATAGGAAGGATTTCATAAGTAATATCTCCAGAAGACAATGGACGACCATCTATGACTTCTACATGAACAAGTTTAGTTTTCTTTAGTAAAGATATGCTATGTCTTTTAGTAAATTCTTCATCTAAAAAACACGTTGAGGCTCCTGAATCTAACAAGGCAGAGACTTTGTAATGTTTAGGTCCTAAAATAACATTTAATGTAAAACAAGGAGAGGGCTCTGAGGAGAGAATAGGACCTTTATTAGAAGTTGTGCAAGGTTCCAGCCGCACGGTCCCTATTATAGCTGGACAAACTCGTTTTGACAAACATATTATCTTCTTTCAAAGCCATACTCCTCATTTTGTGATTGCGTCATTTCTTTGGACAATGTTGAACAGTGTGCTTTGGTTCTCTACAATATAAACATAATCCTTCTTGACGACGACGAGTCTTTTCTTGCTCAGTAAGAGGTTTGAAACGTATTGCATCAATTTGCATATCCTCTACTTCCGAATGTATGTGTTGAAGAGGTGTTGGTGTTGCCATTGAATTATAGTAACGTTGAGGTCCACTTATACGGTTCTCAGATCGGAATTCAAAAAAGCGATTGTCACACTTCACAGCAAAGTCAATTGCTTGACTCAATGTTTGAGGATCAGGTAAGTTGAGCATTAATTTTTTTACCTCATATTGTAATCCGTAGAAAAATTGGCTAATAAGTGCAGCATCATTCCACTTGATATCAATTGTAAGTTGTCAAAATTGTGAAGCATATAACGTTACTGATCAATTGCTTTATCGTAAAATATGGAACTTATTGGTTGCAACACAAATTGCATCATGTTCTCCATACATGGATCAAAACTCTGCCAAAAAAGCCTCTAAATTATCTAATATTGGATCTCGTCGTTCAAAAAAAGATAAAAATCATGATAGTGCTAAACCTGAAAGAAGCGTACCAATGAATCTTACTTGCGATCCTAGAGTTGGATAGCTTTGGGATTGAAGTTCAATCACAAGTTGCACTTGATTGATAAATCCTCGAAACTTGGATCTGCTGCCATCAAACTTCTCGGGTAGGGCAATTCTTGGTTCTCTAACATTTGAAGGGCGTTCCACCATAGGAAAAGGGATATGATTTGGTACAGATGTTGAAGCAGCTCCAATCATTTCTATATCTTCACTTCCTGCCAATCTTGTTGCTCCTTGTGGTGGTAAATTGAGTTGATGCATTGCAAGCATTAACTCCCTCAATCGCTCTTGCATTTGTGCCATTGCACTCTTCATTTCAGCAAGTTCTGCCATGATAGTACTTATAAAAGAGAAGATGTCTAATATAACTCAAGACAAATAGAAGAGAGGACTTGAGAACAAAGAAAATACTAAGGAAAATATCAGTTTAGAAGAGGGTAATCCGCAACTTCTAATATGCTTGTATCTTATCAAGAAAAATGGGTAATCCACTCTTAATCAAGATTAGACAAAGCTTTGATATTGTACGTGTACTCTTATCAATCTGTCAAGGACATGAACTAAAAGATGATGCATAAACCAATGAAATCTGTATTAAGAAAGAGTGACAAAATAGAAATAAGGAAGTACATATATTAAAAGAAATTGGAAAGGCTTAATTGCAAAAGACAAGAAAACTTGAGACTCTTGAAACTAGACTAGAAGCAAGAAAGGAGTTGACAAGAGTGAAGAAGGCTTCACTCTTGTCTCTATATATACTATTTAACTAGGGGCTACGTGGCGACATTCTATAGGACCTTCAATAAGTGTTGACTTTGTAGGACACATGCCTTGACTTATAAGGCAAGTTTTTCTATGTGTGGGCCACATTGTTAGCTTGGTCTTCAAGCTAACAACATGTGTGGCACATGGCTAACTTGTTGATCACGTTTCTAATCCATAAAGTCAATTAAAGACACCTATAAAGTCAAATCAATATCTATGAAGCTTCTAAAAAGCTTCCATACCAAATACTATAGAATTAACTTACTTTTATCTACTTTTACTTATTTCTACCTATTTATATATGTAATTATTGGCTTACATGAGCATGTCCATAACAATAAGATATCAAAAACATAAAAATTTTACTATATAAAAGTGAAATGTGTATTCATAATTTATTTTAATTGTAGCCAAAGACCAAAATGATTTTCGTTTTTTTAAATCTATTTTATTGTTATGTAAAAATATCAAAATTGTGCCAAGTTGTTTGAGCAAAGATTTTTGAATATTTGATTTTATGAAATATTTCGATTGTACGTTTATTTATTTGTATAATGAATGATCAACTTTTGTAAAACTAATGTGATTTTTTAAATTAAGATCTATTACATCATTAAGAAATTGTAGCCATTTGCAAATGGACAATTGAAAAGGATTAAATAATTTTTCATAATATAATTTGGCTTATCATTCTATCTATAATTATTTTATATTTATATTTTAATTAAATTTTGACTTTTTAAACGAATCATTGAAAATATTAGTAATCTAAAACAACTAAATAACTAATAGAAAAATTCTAGTTCAATATAATATTTTAAAAAAATTCATTTAGTATATATTTTATTCAATTTTTTTCATGATTTTTATTGTATTTTAAAAGTACAAGTGATGTGTGGTATATGTTAACATACATGCTTATGAGTGTGGGTACATATAAACTTACATATAATCATTTATAGCTTTAATGACCAAAAGTTAATACATAGAGATAGATTTTTTTTGAAAAAGACATATGGGGCCACTTGAATAAATCCATAACTCAAAAATATATGGATGACATTTGAAGGAAAAGTATAGAGTTTTTGAGAAGGTCCAAAAATTCATGACAATATCCAAACACACTAAGTGATGGTTTGTTTAATTTCTTCAGCAATTTATATTTCTTATATTTTTTAACCTACTGTTAAATGTGTTTCTAACCTAATATTATTATTTTTTTATTTCTTACATAATTTTTTCATATCCATAAGAAATGCTCGTCTATCCAGTGAATCTACATAAATAAAGAAACAGTCCACAATGTATATATATATATATATATATATATACATATATTTCAATTTTTAAATGCCAAAATTTTCAATTTTCAAATCAAACAATGAATGCCTACACCAATATCCGTAATTAGTATGTAAATCTGAATAGTGTATATTTTAATTAGTGTGATACACACTATTTATAGGATAGGGTTTGCTGGTTGCTTCGTTGGCTGTAGAATAGGTGGAGAACTGTAAAAGTCAAATTGCTTATGTAGAAATTATTATACTTACATGTGGTACTCTAGACAAGCAATTAGTTCACTTCAATACCATGCACTTGTTTATAATATTTTTTCGTCTACATTCTTATTTCTAATTAGTGTGTATTCCCAATTAGTGTAATATACACTATAAACCGGGCACTCATGTGCTAGAGGCACTTTGCAAATAGTATGATCCACACTAATTATGGATATTGGTGTAGTTAGGAGATGTTGCATGGACTTTGTGTGATATACATCCAAAGCAACAAACACTCTGATTACATGAAATGCAGATGAGATGTTTGCAAAGTAGGAGAACAATTAAAGTACAGAGTTACTATATTTCTGCATCCAAGAGCAGAAGTTTTCACCCGTCCATGAATGACTAAGAATAGCGGCCAATGCCACGTTCCATGCTCTGACAGATAACGCTTCCTGAGCAAAAAAACAAAATAAAAACGATATAATAAAGGAAGAACAACAAGAGTCCATGAGCACCAATCCAACCTCGCCGCATCAAATTAGATAAAGACCATATGCTGCTCCATTTCACCAGCGTGGAGGCTGAGGGTCATTCTGATCCTTTGGATTAGAGATCCAACCGTCAGATGAGTGCCTTGTGCTAAGAAACGGTTGGGTACTGGGAAATCAGAGTAGTCCTCAGTTGGGGCTCCTCCGCTGGGCATGGGATGTGCCTCAAAATAATAAAAATCACGTTGCGGCATGATTTTCCCGACGATCACAATTCGAATGGCCTGATCGGTCGCCACGCGCGCCTCTAGATTGAGCTGACACGAGCGTGGGTTTAAAGAAGATCGGATTTGGTGGAGCGTGCAGTGAGGTTCAGTATTGCGGTCGAAAGTCGGCGCTGTTCTGGGTGCACGCTGTGTGTGTGTGTGTGAGAGAGAGAGAGAGAGAGAGAGAGAGAGATGTGATTAGAATCGTATTGTTGCAGATTTTTTCGTCACAAGGGTGATCCATGCGATTTCCGACCTAGTGACGCCTTTAGTTGGAACTGTGCTGACGAGAGTACCCAAATAACTGTATTAAGAGTTCTAGACATCTCTCTGGGCGCTGGTCGCGAATGATGGTATTGAAACCCAGTGCCTCTACTGGAGAATCTGCCTGGCTGTGGATCTTTCGACAGTTAGAGCTCTTCTTGATCGATTCAGTGTGGTTGGATGATGGAGAGGCAGTCTACTGCTGAGTGACTCAAAGTAACACTGGTAGAGTACATGTAAACCCAGTTTCGTGTTCATTAAAAGAACCCGATGTCTAGATTTCAACTCGGTGATGCGTACCTTAACTCTATCCTCAGGACATCTGAGTCGTCTTTCAGTTCCAGATTGGCATTTTAGTAAGAAGCTGAGTACCAGCAGCTTGAGCTTACGGCCTTGGAGATGACTTCTGTAATGTCCTCATAGCTCGATTATCCATTTCCGTATCCATGAAGGATCTGTTGTCACTATATAAATCGATCACACTTCATGCATACTGTCTAAATTGTCTCATTAGATCTTTTTAGTAAGGCTTCATGTTTTTCAAGCTTAGTTGAATTCTACGTAACCTCTCCATCGATCACACTGAGTTTGCGCTTGAATGAGAGTTCGCAAAATTAAACAAGCTTGTCCTTTCTTGTTATGCAAGGAAACTGGTTATCATCGATGATGGAGTCGGGAAGCATTGCTAAAGTATTATCTCAGGTGATCGCTGTAGCTTGTAATTATGATCAAGGTCTAGTGACCACACTAGATTGATTGAGGCAGCCCCGCTCAGCAATCCTCATCAGAGTATTCATTCTGCTGCATATGCGTTCGTCAATCGGGAGTATGCATGCAAGTGGACAGGGTACAAACTGGGATTGGTCTTCCATACTGTATCAATTAAGAGAGAAAATTCCAGGGAAAAATTAGAGGAGCAAGGCCGCTCAGAGGTTAAGTCACGACCCCTCAATATTCACCCTCCAAAAATGGAACATTCACCTTCAGTCGACAATCTCCTGGACATATTCTGGGACGTGTCTGTCAATTTCGCAGACAAGGCAGTGACTTCCTTGTCAATTGACCAGAGAGCCCCCGAATGGTCCTTTCAAGAATTTTTCAAGGAGAGTCTTACCGCCACTCCAGGTCTCGGACCCTCGCGGCCAGCTTGCAAGAGCCGATTCCTGATTGATCATGCCGATGTCAAAGAGGGCAAGCCCGAGAAACAGGATGTTAAGGAGTCGCATCGCAGCATGGGAACAGGGGCAGACAAAGAGCCTTTAATCAGTTCAGGGGATCTTCAAATGTATCCCCACTCAGGCAGCTCAGATTTTTCGACATTCATGGTGACGAGAAGTGAGGATGTTCGGATTGTGGATGACGACGATCCATGTGATGCGGTGGAGGGCGCTCTGAATCCTTTCTTCTGCGGTTTTCCTGACGTAAGTGAGGGTAGTGCTGCTCATGCTCGAATGTCTGGAACCACCATCGAGCTGAACAGAGAGGATGGGTTCAGGAATCCACAAGAATACGAATGCTTTCTGAAACATAAGCTGGAGATTGCTTGTGCAGCCGTCGCCATCACTCAGGTACTTTGGGACATTCTATTGAAGTATGCAATTTTATGACAGTTTAAGACATGTCTTTGTTGGCATCTCAAGTTCTTTTTTATAAGTTCATTCAGGTGGATTGAATTTAACCGATCACGCAATAGAGTTCAAGGGGTATTCAAAGCCTATCCTTGCAGTAGGGAAGCGATAACTGGATTTCTCACAGAAACAGCATTCGCCAGGTTTGTTTGATGAGATGGGAGTTTGAATAAGACTGGAGGAATCCGTAATCTCATAGCCTGTTAGAGATCTCGTTTTCATGATTCCCTTATATTATTCAGGCTATGACTGCAGCAGCAATGTCACATCAGGTAGTGCGGAATATGGATATTTGATGATTATTCGTCGGGCTCACTCTTAGTGCAAAGTAAAAATATGCTAATGACAAGGATAGTGATTTAATCTGGAACTTGATTTTACAGCATGCAAAGGCAAGTGGAACAAGAGCAGCAGAAGCTAACGTTAAACGAGCGGAGCCAGTATCTAAAAACCACAAACCTGGTAACGTTCTTATCAGGGTATTTTTGCTATCGTCTCTCTGAGGATTCTGTGGTTCCTGAGTGCGCCACTAGTCGGAATCGCCTGAAGTCTCAACTTCGGCTACATTGCTTGTGCGGGCCAAAAAGCAGATGGGAGAGGGAGTTCAGTTGAAGTGAGTCTGATCAAGTGTTCACTTGTGCAGGAACTCGAGCTCTCAAACGAAAATCACCAACTGGCGACACTTCTGTTGCAGAAGTGGGAAAGTCTCGACCCATCACCAGCAGTTCGGAAGTCTCTGAGGATGAGGAATATGGCGAGCAACACGGAAAGGAAGCACCTAGAGACATTAAGCGCGCTAAGAGGTCTCTAGTCTGAGCATCAAAATCCATTCAGAAATGAGCACAACTGTATGAGAACTTTGTTTAGCATGCCATCAATTCTCGCTATTAACAACTTGAGCTGTTGTGGTCGCACAGAATGCTTTCAAACCGCGAATCGGCTAGAAGATCTCGCAGGAGAAAACAGACTCACTTAAGTATTCTGGAAACGCAAGTAGCCCAACTGAGAGTTGAGAATGGCAATTTGGTGCAAAAGCTCCAGGATTTTAACCACAAGTTCCACGAAGCGGCAATTGACCACCGTATCCTCAAGGCAGATTGCGAGGCTTTACGTGCCAAGGTCCGATTTCGCCAGCGCTCTAGAACGTCATCTTTCAGTCATTTGGAATATACTCACATATTAATTGTTCATGCCGAGTTCGTCTTCTTAATGCATTTGGAATATCTGCATTTAATGCAGTTGAGCTTGGCTAAACGAGATTTGATGGCGAGGCACGGACAAATCTCTGGTGGGCAACTTTTCGCGGTCACCAGCTTAAGATACATGATGCCTCACGGAATGCTGCCTGTCGCAGATGAATCAGATCAATTCATCCAACAGGTGAAGGGGACGAATCCTGTGTTACACCAAGATCACCAACAGAGTAAGGCTAGTCTCGATAAGATGGGAAGAACCCCATCGATGCAGCATGTTGCCAACCAGGAGCATTTGAACAAGCGCATGCGGAGTGAGGTCTGCTGCAATACACCCTCCTGGAACAGCTACTAGGAAATGGAGGGCTCAGTCACGATGGAGCAACATGACATCTAAAGGATGAACTTTCTGATTTCAGTGCAAGGCGCAAAGCTTGTTTAACATTATTATGTTCAATTTATACTGTCGTTACTCCAAGGCATCAAAACTTACCAATGACAATCGTAATTACACTTGTCTACATCAAATCTCGACTGATTTGACTGATCGAATCTATTAGCAGCAGGTGCATACAGTAATCAGTGTGATGTAGCACGGACGCGAACGGCAATTGAAAGGAACGGAGTAATCTAGTTTTATTCAATTGTGATGACACGACGAATACACAGATACAACAGAGTTATGGAGGCAAATACTTCCATCGGTTGTAAACAGATCCCACAGCTCCTGTCGACACCCCTCCAAGAATAAGTCAAACAATCCGCTGGTGAAGTAATTGATTGTTCACTTGCGTACTTGGGTTCATGAAAAATCAGCTACTTCTCAGTCTATAAGCTCCTACTTTCATAATTCTGTACAACGCAAATTCTCTAAACTGCACTCCAACTGCCCTACATAGCGTTTGTAAAATGAAAAATCCAACACAGTTGTGCGTTCATCTTGCTGGCAGCTAAGGCAGATCAGTGAAGTTGTAAGGGCATAGAGAGCTCGTGATCCACCTTGTCGGATTCTATCATTGCTTGACCGTGAAATCCATAGACTACCTTTCTGTACCCATTGTTCAGGGAGCCGTAGCAGAACAAAATGAGAGGGCTAGGATAATAGCTCACTGATCCAAAGTATGCATTGAAACATTCAATCTGCTAGCCATGATTCATATACGAATGTTAAAAAAATCCTCGACTTCCAGTACATCAAGTGTCCTTCCAGTCTCCTCTTTTATGGCTCATCAGGGACTCAGTACAGATGGCAAAGCATCCGATAAGACCAAAGAACTTTTGGGGCAAAGCTAGCCTTCAATCCTCATGCTGCTCCAACATAGAGTGCTCATCATCCAAGGACACACCCCACACAGGATTATTGCAGCCTGGCCCTCCACGAATTCGCTTCTGTAAGTGTTCGAGACTTGCAACCCGTTGCATTGATGGTGTTCGGCCCATTTTGATTCCAGTAAATCCTTGCTGTTGTTCCTGCTGCAATACAGGAGCTTGTTGCATATACTGTGTACCATTACCCCCAGATGAGTACGTCAAATATCTTGAGGCAGACAGTGGCAAATCCATGGATGCAACTTGTCCATTAGTTGTCCCAGATACCATGCTTTCTGCCATCTTCAGCTGCAACAATATGCGACCAAATATCAAAACTATTGAAAATCGATGCTAGTGTCTTCAACATGGGCAAATCTCAACGATAACTGTCTAATTCAATCTGCATTGAGGCATCAAATGCACCCACTGGATCAGAGAGGTCAACGAAGTCATCCTCGGAGCATCACAAAGTAATAGTTTTAGGTCAACTTTCGATTTAACCATGTTAGGTATTAACCTTGGCTTGCAAAGTTGCCACATCTGTCTTCAGAACACGATTTTCTAGAGCGGCTTCTTGAAACTTGATTGTGATTTCTGTTACTCTCTTCAAGATGGTGTTATTCTCAGCGCGCAACTGAGCAACCTGGAAACACGCTAAAGTAATATTTTAAGAGGCATTCCACATAACATATTGTAGAAACGTACCATGCAAAAATCTTCACAAATCTGCCTAACAAGAATAACGCCACCAATTAAATATTTGTTCTCACATTCACAAATTTATTGATTCCGCAAGTAGGATTGATGCATCAAACCTGGGTCTCAAGTTCAGTCAAATGTGCTTGCTTTCTTCTCCGTGATCTTCGCGCTGACTCTCTGTTGGATAGCATCCTGTAAATATGTCAAATAAAACACAATCAGGTAACCGCAAACGATAATTCCAGAATGGATACACCCGCAAAAGTTACATTCCAGTACGGGCTTTAATCATTCACCATTCGTTGTGGAACCCCACCACCTTTTTCTCTTCCCAGGTAGAAAAACACACCTGAGCTTCTTTACCTGTCTTGAGCTACCCATAGTCATAAGAGAAAACAAGACCCCCTAGAAGCACAACAGAATCATAAGCTTGGTCACCTCTTCACACGTTTAATATCACCAGGCGGCACATTTTGGCCCTGCTCTGATTCATCATCCTCCGAAACATCCGAACCACTTGTAACAGCTCGAGTTCTGGTTGGAGGAACCATAGCCCCATATTCAGGCTTTGGAGGCAGCGCAGGAATACCAATTGGATCTCCACTACCCATAACACCTGAAAATTAACCATTGATGGTTAGATAATTTTCCACTCAAAGACAAGATGCCCCTACAGTACATTTTTCTCTCTTACGCCTGAAAGGTGAGTAAAAGGTCTACACAAGAGACCATCAGGCAATGAAATCAGCAGAGTTGCTTGAAAGTACGACAGCGGAAGCAAGACATACCATGAGTCTTACAAAGTCATGTGTACGATCTTATCTGATATTACAACCACATTCGATGCGAAGATCACAGAATAAAGAACCATCAAAATTCCAGTGCCTTGCTTGGTAAGAGTACCAGGTATTAATGTCAGAGGCGTGGTAAATGGTCACATAAAATTTGGATACAAACATTAAGTGATACGTACCATATGCTCCTGGGGAAATGCTTGACTGCGGGGCTAGTGGCCCAACTTTAGCTCCTCCCGCAGCAGACTGCTTGCAAAAACACCAGAATCCTTACATACTAAGACGATCTTACATTATATGTTTCTGCTGGGTTTTGCGCAATAATAGAAGTTACGCAAAAAATCGGCATGCGGACGACATTAATATGAATATGAACTAACGGATAGTGAACATCCAGAAATACAATTATAATCCTGCAACTATTTTGTAGGATATCAATTCACCCTAAGAAAAGGTTGCACAGACAAAGGGCCCACAAAATAACAGGGGAAAGAAACTTAATGGAAGGAGTATTATTACAGTTCCATACGTCGTTATCTGATTGAAGAGGCGGAAACCTTACCCGACTGAGGGCAACTGCTGCACAAGCCAGATCGAGTTTATGCTTAAGAAAGAACTCGTATTCCTGCGGACTATTTGTCACGGTCGCAGCGCTCTCTACCTCGTGTCGAATACCTGAAAACAAAGGATTCAAGGCATCCTCTACGTGATCAACAATACCGCTCATCGTAGGCACCTCTAGTTTAGGTGGTAGAGTTGGAAGCATGCGCGGCACTTTATCAGCCTCGCTGGAACAGTCCAATTCTTCTTTAGATACCTCGGTTCTGTTTTCAGACGTTTTAGGAGAAGCAGGGCTCGCAGGACTTGGAGAACTTGGAGGGTCGGTGTCATCTTCATCATCATTATTATCCCTAATATCCTCATTGTTAAACCTGCTTTTCGACCGCGCAAACCCTCCGCCGGCTTCACTCACTCTCAGAAACTCCTGAAATGCATACTCAGAGGCGCTCCGATTCATACCCCTGTCCTCCTTTGTCCTGAGAGACCCCACAACCGGAATATGGGTGTCTTCATCGTCTTCCACATCTTCTGGAATTGATACAATTGGGCCTTTCGCATCTCCCTGAGTATCCAACTTCCAGAATGTACCCAAGATATCATCAACAGAAAAATTTCGCTGCATCTTGGCAGCCTCTGGAATCCGTCCCCCGCGACGAGCAATCCAAGAGATTCCTTCAAGATCCCAAAACGATGTCTGAACTACTAACACTCGACTCGCGCTGTAATTCACATCAATCAGCAACGCAAACTTCCCTGTAGCATTCGTGCCGACAAAACCGAGTGGGGGCGTTACAGTTCTACACAACCCATCAGCTCTTCAATCACTTCCGCCATATCCCCCTTGCACACATTCCTAAAATCATACCACACAAGCTCAATTGCTGCAACATTAATACCGCCCCGACCTAAATCCCCTTCAAACCACTACACATAAGAATCAATCCAAAGTTGCAGGGACGACTTCCGCATTTCCTCCTTCACAACCATGAGCACGTGATTTTACCCCTGCAACACAACCCAGCTTCCTAATCACACGAAAACACCCCGATCTCCGCGCGTAGAATAATCGGCATTGACCACTTTACGCTGGAACAACAATCTCCCACAACTCAGCTGAACGAATCAACCACACACAATACCACCCACACATAGAGGCCCAAAGGCGTGCTACAAGACGACCCGGCAGCACGTTTCTCGTAGGAAATTAAGACTAACACGGCTCTCCACCACAGCACCTTTTTTTCCTTTTCCTGGTCCTTCTCTCGATGATACTGCAGCTGTGCGACAATTTACTGCGCTCATCGAGAATCCTTAAGCTCGTTAATCAATCGAACGGCCTAGAAAATTGGCGAAAAAACGCTCTCTTCTGGTCGTGGAATATATCTTAATTCCAAGGCTGTCGTAACCCCTACCAAATCACCCACCCGTGGAAAAAACCCCGAAACCCTTAGGTGGTTCGCGACTTTGCGGCACAGCGAGGCGCGGAAGGGGGCAACTAACTGACGCGCTCCTATTCTCGTCCCCAATAGCTCTCCATCGTCGCCAGGGACATCGACATCGGCATCGCCAAACACCACCCCACCTACCCTACCCCCTCCCGCAACGCCTCTACGCAACTCTTTATTTTTTTTTTCCCACTATCTGGACAGATACCTCTAACAAGCTATTTAAAAACTCCTCCATAATCGAAAATCCACAACCAAGAGTTGGAATTTACACAGGACAAAAATAAAAATAAAGGTGCTTTTAAACCACCACTCTACCCATCCGTTCATGGTCCAGCTGCGACCAGGATACCACCCCCATGTCCCCACTTAATACCGAAGGGTGTTATGTGGATGGTACAGTATTCATCCAGCATTCGTCGTCTTGGAGGTTTCGGGCAGACGGACGAATTCTTCTGCCCGGATGGATGATCCCAATGGACATTCATTTAATTGTGCATTCATCCAAGAGAGACCTACTATTACGAGAAAGAGTCTAGTGTTGTTTTTGCGCATGGAGTGGTGCAAAAAAAGGTTCGGCAAAGGCGAGGGGGAATAAAGTTGCAAGCGTGCCTCGCAACGAATCAATCACTAGAGAGAGGAGCGTGGCTTTTCTTGGATTCCGGTGCTGTGGGGTCTGATGTTGCGAAGTGGTGAGCAAGGGGGGGGGGGGGGCATACGGATAAAAGGAAGGATGAGCAGAGAAGGAGGAGGGTTGGAAGAGGACAAAGGGAATTGGAGGAAAAGAAAAAAATATGTCAATTAAAGGACAAACAGAGAAATTATAAGGAGGCGATTCTGTGCGGCTGTTGGGAGGAATGCGCACTTGCTTGCTTGCCTCTTCTCCGAAGCATTTATTCCTCCTCGCCTTTGCCGCTCCTTTTTTTTTTTTTTTTTTTTTTTTTTTCCCTTCATGCGTGTGCTAGTGGTGTGAGTGTGTGTTTTTAGCCCCCCTTTGTGTACTTTTCTTTTTTTTGCCCTTTCCTTTTCCTCTGTCTGGTCTCTGGAAGTTGTTTGTGGTGATCAGTGAACCTGCGATTAGGGTTTGAACCAAATTGTTTGCAAGTGTTTTGGGATCATAGCACAAAACATGTGTTTCGTTTCATTGTTTCGTTTGATGTTTGTAACAAAAATTCAGAATTTGAAGAATGGATGATGTAAAACAATCTTTCCGCCAAAGGCCTTCATGTTGTTCATCATTCTCAACTAAAAGAAGCCTTGTCAGCATTGATGCTTCAATGCCAAACAAAATATTTTGTCTTGTGGTTGAGTGTGGAGATGATTCCAACATTTCATAAGTGGGATCTTGGATGTGAAGTGTAGTAGAAGAAATGTTACACAAGAGTTTTCTAATTCAAAATTGTCTAATATTCTTACAACATGCTGGTGTGCAAAAAAATAAATATTAGCATTGGCTTGAAATAATAAACAATAAGTTTAAAAGATTTTTTTAACTTTTAAAGTGAAACTATTTTATTAAATAATATTGATGTACCTTCTGTTTATACACAAGCTGCTTCTACCTCGTTTTCTTCAAGAAAAAATTATTATTTGATGTAATTACTGAAAATATGTAAGATATTAAATTTTTGTGTAAGATAATTATTTTGAAATTAAAACAGAGATCGAATATGTATTTTTAGAATAAAAAAGGTAATATTAACATTCTGCTTATATTCCAAAATTTATAAAACAATTTATACAATCAAAATAATTAAAATAATTAAAATCCAAAGATTATTTGTGAATAAATTCATATCTAAATAAAATGATACACAGAACTATTCTAAAACATATTTCTAACAGAAAATATTATTACATGATATGAAATTAATAAATTATAACAAATTAAAATAATAAAAAATATTAGAAATATTTATTATTATTATTATTATTATTTATTTTTTAAGAAATATATAAATAATTGAAAAGATTTCATGTCATAAAAATCAGCTTATGTAAATAAATGTTGGAAATAATTTAAATGTATACATGGCTAAGAAGCACAATAACTAACGTAGTGCCTAAAATAATAAAAATAAATATATGATTATTAATTAAAATAAAATTACACAAAAATAAGAAATATAGTAAAGAGATTTTTTATACTTTCAATATTACTAATACATGTTCAAAATTTATACTATTGTTGCAATCTATATAAAAAAAATTATACTACTATTGATAATTATTTTTTAGAAGTTATATATATATATATATATATATATATATATATATATATTATTAATTTTTTAGAAAAAATATCTACTTTATAAAATTAAAAAACATCTATTTATTAAAAAATAATAAAATAGGTATCTAAATATGAAAATATATAAATATATATTATTAAAATAACAAAATTAATTTGATATCTTCTTATCTATAGTTTCATAAAATCAAAGTTTATTATTACTACTAAAGCCAAAAATAAGAGATATAATAACCATATATATATATATATATATATATATATATTTTCACATCTTCAAAAATTAAATAAGATTACTTTTTAAGAAAATTTGAAATAAGATGTTAATAATTTTTGTGTAAAAGAATGGTTTATCATTATATGAGAAGTTTGTTGTCTACCAAAGATGAACTTTGTTAGAACCATAGATTGATTTTTTAATTTTTTATTATTTTCTTTCAAGATATTTTAGAATTTCCTAGTATATCTAAGAATCAAAGTGGTTAAATAGTAGTTTAAAAATTATATTGGTGAATTAATTGATGTAAAATTAAATCAATTGAAAAATATTTTTGTTTAAGATTGATTTATATAAGAGGATGTAAGAAAGAATAGTAGATGCCAAAAGATGTCAAAAATTATCAATAGAATGTGTAACTTCTATTAGATATAATGTAGAATGAGCATTTGATATTGCTTTGATTGGTTGACAAGTTGTAGCTATCCTTTGTTGGTAGTAATACCATTTAGCCACCCTAGCCTACCAAGCCATCATACGGCCTAATAAGATGAGTATCCACATATTAATTGGACATTATTAACTAGGCTAGTTGTTCGTATATTCATACTAGAAAGTCCATAAGGCTAGATATTGGACTAATAGTATAAGAACTCAAATCTGAGGCTCATTTTGACAAGTGATTTTAATTCTCTTTTCTTCACATATTTTTACTTCTACTCTGGCAATATACTTCCTTATATATTATTATATGGTATTAGGACTTAGTTCTCTTGAATCATCTTTTGTAAATTGAGTGTATGTATGAGGTTGTTTTGTAGAAGGTGGTCTTTTAATCTTCTTTGAAAAAGTTTAATTTTTTTACGGTAGCTCTTGTTAGAAGTGACATAAGAAATTAAGAAGAGCAAGAAGAGGGCGTTGGAGCTTCAAGAAACTTTGTCTATAGTCTTTGTGAGCACAATCCATAATCTATATAGAACTATAGTGCAATCAAGAATGTATAGTTAAGAATGAGCTATTGAAAATGTAGAGTCTTGATTGGCTATTGAGAATGGACAGTCAAGATTGTCTTATCAAGAACAAACTATTAAGAATGGATAGTTGGATTGATAAATCTAGAATTTTGGAACGTGGATTGAAACTTCAAATAATAAGCCTAAAGGAATTCAAGGAGTTTAGAGAATCCAACAAGTCTAGGAACTCCAAGAAGATTTGCAAGTTAAGTTTTTTGATTTAAATTAGACATATATTTGTTAGAATTGATATATCTTAGTTAATTTTGAAAATTTAAAATTAAAACATTTTGAGAGTGTAATTTTTATTATAATATACTTACTTAATAAGTTTTTAGTATTTTATTTTTTTTAGAATTTTTATAAATAATCAAATAAAAAGCCGTATAGAAAGATTTTGAGTCTTATTTTTATTCTATTTTGATTTCTTCTAATTTTTCTTCTTTTAGTCCTATTATTTCTTCTATCTTTAGTATACTTCTTGTATCATGGTAATAAAATATCACATTATATAAAAATTTATCAAAAATAATTTGTATCTTTAAAAGGAGAGGATCAAATTTATTTTAATTTCCAAGGGATTGTAGAAGATTGTATGTAGAAAATACAAGAAATCTACTAGACTACCTATAGATTTGGTTGAGTTAAAAAAAATGAGAAGATACAAAAAAATGGATATTATCTATAATTTGTCAACATCTCTCGAATCCAAAGTTCACAACAACAAGGAAAGCAATAAGCATAGAGGCCACATAGAAGAGTCCAAAAGAAACATATGAAGTTAAAAATATCTCAAGCCTATTATTCTTAATTTGTAAGTTTTGAATTGTGTAAATGAATGAAAGTGGTAATATTATCACATATATAAAATTATAAGAGATGGTGGATCAACTTTCTTTAATTAGAGATTTTTTTTTGAATATACATTTTGTTATGGCATTATTAAGAAGTCTTCTAGAGTCATACTATACTCTGGTGGTATTCTTGAAAATATAATCTCCCATCGAGTTGACATCAACTATGGTCATAACTCACCTATTGCAAGAAGAATTTTACAAGAAGAATGTGAGATTGACCTCCAAGGTGGCATTGCATGTGGAAAAAAATCCAATTTATATTTTCATACTCATATTCATAGAAGGTCATCACATGATTATAAGAAAGACATCAAATACAAATATTGTAAGAAACAAGGTCACTATGAAAGAAAAAGTATTGGATCAATGAGAAGGATAGGAAGTTAGGCAAGTTAAAAAAGACTTTTTAAACAAAGCAACTTAATATAATAGACAAGAAAAATAAAAAAGAAGATGAATTTGTCTTTGTAGCTACATTATTTGTCATTATAAGTGACAAAGAATAGTACAATGATTCTGATGCTTCTCAATACATGATAGAAAATTAAAGTTGATTTTTAAGTTATGAGAATCTACCACAAGACCTTAAAGTCTATTTGAGTGATGATATTGGACTTGCTATCAAAAAGAAGGACAAGATCTCTTTCCAATTTTCAAACAATGTTTGAAAGGATATATATGACATCTTGTATGTTGAAGGATTAGCTAAGAATTTGCTTATTCTTAGCAATATAACAAATTAAGGTTATGAAGTTAATTACAAGGCTAATACATGTCTTATAAAATGCGACAACATAACCATTAAAGATATTAGGCATGGTTATTTATATAAGCTACTAGGATATTTGAATGAAGATAGAAATACTTTTCTTGTTAGAAAGATAAAACAAACTTTAAACAAGACTAATCTTTGGCATTAAAATA